AGAGGGCCCCCCCCCCCCCAGCCACAGGTGAGCCAGTGACACTTCTCCATCCATGCCACCACGCCCCACGCTGCCGCCTTCCACAGCATCAAGAAGATAAGCAACACGGCCGAGCCCCTCGGGGAGCAGCCAGGTAGGGCCCAGCGCAAGCATCCATGGCCTCCCTCCCCCATCAGGCTAAGGAGCTCCCCACCCCCTGGTCAGTTCTAGGGTGGGGATTATTGAGGATAGACCTAATTGGAGGGGAAAGGCCTCATATTCGTGACCTCCATGATATAATCATAGCCGTATCCATGAGCAAACTCCTACCCCAGAATATATTGGGCAGTGTCCTTTGCCTCAGTTTCTCCCCTTGTGCTGTGACTCACTCACTCATGCCCGTCACCCCAATCGGGGTATGGGCCGCCAACCACAGCTCTCCAGAGTCCTCTATCCTGAGCCATTTGCTCTAACTGGCTTTGCCCTTTCCTTCCCCTGCACCCCACTCACAGTTGCTGTCCTTGGTCGGCGAAGGCCCAGAGTTCAGACCATTCATGTGAATTCAACTCCCGCCAGTGGGGTGGGAGGTGGGGAAATGGCATCAAGAAATGCCTCGGCCGCTGCTGCCACCACCATGTATACAACTGAGATCTGGTCTGACCTACAGACCTCTATCGGTATAACTACGTCACTCAGTAAATCCACACACCCCCACCCCCTGTTCGACATAGTTATACCAACCCGACCCCATGTGTAGACAGCGCTGTGTTGGCAGGAGAGCTTCTCCCATCGACACAGCTACCGCCTCTTGGGGAGGTGGATTAACTACACCCATGGGAGAAGCTCTCTCCCGTCAGCTTAGAGCGTCTCCATTAAACCACCACAGAGGCACAGGGTGCACTTGTGCTGATGCAGCGTGTTAAGCGTAGACGTGCTCTAAGGCTCAGCGGCTAGACCTGGTTCTCAGTGATTTCAGCTCTAGCGATCACTTAACAAAACAAGGACTCTCCAGTGTGTCTGATCAGCTCTGCCTTTACACAGTGGTGAGGGAGAGGGTCAAATGGCATCTAGAACTCTTTAGGCAGAGCCCACACCCCCGGTACAGACACCTGTCCAGACCCTCTTTCTCTCTCACTCTCACGGGATTTGTCATCCCCACCCCCCTGTGTAGCAAGTAAGCATCAATCAGGGCAGGCTAAGCACAGTTCTGCTGCCCTTTCCTCACACAGTTAGGGTGACAACATGCCATTCCCCTGCACTCCCCACTAAAGTGATTTGTAACCCAACACCCGCCAAAAGGGGTCACTTTGGCAAAGCAGTTCCCTCTGCTGAGTTCCTAGGCAGAGTAGTTGCTTCCGGAAACACAGTCTGTTCCTGGAGTCTGTTCCCCCAGCTCATCTCTCCACG